TAAGTCCCATGTTCCTTTAAGTAGAATCCCTAAACCCTAGAAACCGTAAGCAGTACCCGTTTCTGCAGTGTAGGTATACCCCTTCAAGCCCCCGACAAGATCCGCAAGACATCTTGCAGCCAGAGTATCCATATGATAAGCGTTACAGGTATCATCCTAGGGAAGAGCCCTTCCTCCAAACCTAAGCCATCAGGGCCCCTCTATAGCGGTTACAAAGGCCCTCTATAACGGTTCTCCAGGGGCTTGCAATGAGGGCTTCGGTTTTTTTTAACGGGATTGCTATAAGGGCTTATAGTTCAGGGTCTACTGGAGTGACCTGAACCAATAGACTGTCTGCAGCGACGTTCATAACGAGTCTGTATAGGATGATCGTCAAAGGAACAGGGTGCTACAAGGTTTGCCATAGAGGCCCTGATGATTACACTCTGACTTCCTGGTATGTTCTAGTAAAATTACCCATAGGCTCCATAGTAGTTCTTTTTTGTGGCTTATATTTAGGATCCCATTAGGTCATCCCAATAAGGAATGTCAACTGTTCGCTCCGAAGTCAACATGTCTAATCAACAACAGAGGCTAAATAAACCCTAACTGAGAAGAACCTACCTTTTTAGGGTTCCTGTAATCATGATTTCTTTAAATATGTCCTTAGCAAGGTAGGTTTTTTTGGGTTAAGGTAGAGCCTAACCCGAGACCGCAAAACTCAAGATGGTTTGGAATGCTTAGGGCTTAGATGGACCCTTTACTCTGAATCCGTCACCCCTAAACCCTAAACCCCTAAACCCCTAAACTCCTAACTCCTAAACCCTAAACCCCTCAACCCTAAACCCCTAAACCCCTCAACCCTAACCCCCTAAACCCTGAACCCCTAAACCCTGAACCCCTAAACCCCTAAACCCTAAGCCCCTGAACCCCTAAACCCCAAATCCCAAAACCCTCAACCCTAAACCCCGAAACCCGAAACCCCTAAACCCTAAACCCCCAAATCTAAACCCCTAAACCCTAAACCCCTGAACCCCCACACCCCAAACCCCAAACCCTTAGACCTGGAGACCTGCACCCCAAACCCCAAACCCTTAGACCTGGAGACCTGGTTTAGGGTTTAGGGTTTAGGGTTTAGGGCCCTATTCGTTACTCTGGCCCTTTAAATACCTGAAACGGCCTCAACGGTACGGCCACCGAAGTATCGGCCATCCATGACCTGGCGGACTCTACCCATAGGCCCCATAGTAGTTCCTTTTTTGGGTTCATAGATAGAATCCCACCCCAAAAAGGAACTACTATGGGGCCTATGGGTAGGCTCCTTATTCAGCAGCTTGGGGTTTGTGGAGTTTAGCGTTTAGGGCATGGGGTCTAAAATCGGTAATAGTAGGTTTAGCTATCCTCTGGGTTTACGCTATACTACAGTAAAACCAAAAAACACCCTGGTAGCATCCTAATGTAAGGGCCTTAATGACTTGAATGGGGTGTTGGGGTCCTTACTAGTATAATTATGGCAAGGAGCCCCCAAATAAATGCAGGTAACTATGGCTGTCTGGTGCTTAGTAGGGAATGGGGGAATCGATCCCTATGATAGTCCCTTAAGGTCCCTTATAGTAGTCCCTATAACCCATTCCCCCATTCCCTACTAAGCACCAAACAGATTGAGGCCCCTATAGACCCTAAACCCTGAACCCCTAAACCCTAAACCCTAACAGGCAGCTCTAGCCTGGGCTTCAGGAGACCCTGTAGATTATAGGGTTTAGGGTTTAGGGTTTAGGGTGCAGGCTTTAGGGTTTAGGGTTTAGGGTGTAAGGTTTAGGCTTGAAGTTTTAAGTTGTAGGCTTTAGGTTTTCAGGTCTAGGTTGCATATGGTTTAAGATTTAAGTTTTAGGGTTTCAGGTTTAGGTTTTGAGGTTGTTTAAGTTGAGTTGACTTGTGTTTGCCGGCAGCTGCTCTCAACTGGGTTCAGGGTGTAGGGTTCAGGGTTGAGCGTTCAGGGCTTAGGGTTTATGGTTCTGTGGCGTTGCTGGCTTTTTCTTAGAGATCAAATCCGAATTGCGCGAAATCTTCCGGATTGCTGAGAGTAATGCGGATTCCTCATCAATTAAATTCCACTTCCCCTTAATCTCCAATCGGAATATGGTAGGGATCCAAATAAAAATATGAAGGTGCTTGAGGAGAGAGGTTAAAGCAAAATACCTCGTAGAGTGCAGTGCTGGCTTGCGGTACCAGGCCCCGAAGGCTACGAGTCCTTCGAGCTTCCCGGTTTTACCACGGAGCCCTCCGGAAGAAGAGGCCTTCGTGGAGGAACAGACAGTTCTGCGAGTAGATGTCCCAACTCGATCACGTGCATTTTGCCTAAACCCTATAAATCCCAAACCCTTATGCCTGAAAGCTGAAATCCTAAACCCTATAAATCCCAAACCCTTATGCCTGAAAGCTGAAATCCTAAACCCTAAACCCCAAACCCTTATGCCTGAAAGCTGCAATCCGAAGCCTCAACATACACTACCTTAGAGCCTAAACCCTAACTCCGGACTCCCCGGCCCCACCGCCAAACTCCCGACGCACCCTGAAAACACGTGAATCACATGCATACACCAAGAGTAAGCATAGCTAGTCATACTCGAAATCACAACTTATACTGCTAATAAACGCTAACCATGACATAGGGGCCTTAATATTCAGAATAGGGTTTGAGGGTCTCTTATACGATAGCTGTAATCAGGAACCCCCAGCACCCTATTCTACATATTAAAGCCCCTACATTATTCATAAATAGGGAAACATACCACACCACGGAAAACAAAAAAAAAAAAACAGGTACCTATCCCGATGCCCTGAGTCCTGCACAAACCCTAACCCCCACCCTGCCCCCTCCAAAACACCCTGGTTTAGAGTTTAGGGTTGAGGGAAAATCACCCTAATAAGCCTATATAAGCCTTATTATAGTAGCCCTTATAATGACCCTTAAACTAACATATGGGTAGTTCTCGGTCCCTTTTTCGGTCCAAAAAAAAAGGCACCCTAAAAGAAAAAGGGCCCTCAAAGAGACCCCAAAAAAGAGCACCACTCATACAATAACCTTTATACTAGGAGTTAGGATTAGGGGATGTTTGGGGATATAGACCCTCTCAACAAGGTCTCGTTTAAGAGAGCCCTAAGTGGGGTTTAGAAGGGTCCCCTTTAAGCGGTCTCCCTAACTAAACCCTAGAACCCTAAATCCTAAACCTCAACCCTAGACCCTGAATCTAAACCCTCAACCCTAAACCCTACCCTATCTCCTAAACCCTAAAACCTAAACCCTCAACCCTAAACCCTCAACCTTAGACCCTAAACCCTAAACCCTCAACCCTGAACCCTAAGCATAAACTACCTAGGATATAAGCCTCGGGGCCCCGGGCGCGAATGCACTCTTCGGCTTCGCTGGAGAGCTTGAACTTCACGCAGACGATGCCCTGGGTTTAGGGTTCAGGGTTTAGGGTTTAGGGTTCAGGGTTCAGGGTTCAGGGTTCAGGGTTCAGGGTTTAGGTTCAGGGTTCAGGGTTGAGGGTTGAGGGTTTAGGGTTTAGGGTTTAGGGTTCAGGGTTCAGGGTTTAGGATCTAGGGTTTAGGGTTGAGTTCATCAACGGGTTCCGAAAAGGATTAGAGTAGAGCTCTAGCAAGGTCTGATTATCGGTGCTTGCTTTGGATAGAATTTCTTCATGGAGTGTTCTTGATTGCTTCCAGGGTTGTTTTAGGTTCCTCTGGGGTTCCTGCAGTTCCTGTAGGGTGTCTTGGGGGACCCTAAACCCTCAACCCTAAACAAGGTTGATCGGCAGCTTTAGTCTTAGGGTTTAGGGTCTGGGCAAATTGGCAGATGCCGTTGCGCAGTGTGAGCTTTTGCCTTTCCTGAAAAATCTTCAAGTGTGTTCGAAGGAGCTTCTCCACGTCCACTATGAGATAAGAGATACGGCCACTTGTAGGCCCTCTGCTTTCCTCAAGACACTCTTGATTTCTTCACGGCACCTATACTACTTTTGGGGTTCTATGTTAAAAACAAATAGTATAACATACCCCCCCAAACCCTATTCTAA